TCCTCATGCTGGATCAGTCTTTTGCCCTGCAATCAGCAGTATCTATCTGACGCCTCCATTTTCCATCACTTGGAGTGAATGCTCCCTGACCCCAGCCCCTTCCTATGCAATGGACCCCCACTTGGTGAGGCTTCCTGATCCTTTCCACTTGGGGGCTATATCTATGATAACTCAAGCTACAAACCAGATTTGGGTACATTCAACTTCTTAACAGAGTGAGAAGGGACCAGACACGCTTGAGGTATATTGTGTGTCACCTTCTGTCCCTTAAATGCCTAGGAGGAGACCAGGACCCCTGATAGACACCTTCTACAAGGTTCTGGAGTAATCTGGATTCTTCTCCACCCCTAGGCCCTTGACTATGGTAGGTTGTGGATGTAGGGACAGGTGCCAGGAGAGGGCTGACTCTGGAGTTAGACTGGGTACCAGTCCAGAGCAGAACATTCTAACACCTTCTAAGCCCTGCTGGAACCAAGTCTCTGCAACAAATGAGCAGCCTGAGGGAGTGGGTATGTTCACACAAGTTTAGAAGCAGGCAGTGACTCAGAGCCAGGCCCTCAGTTTAGGGATTAGCTAACATCAAAGGTTAGAGCCAACAGCAGACCTGGAACTACTGACACAGTGGGTAGAGGAGGAGATGAGACAGGACAGTCATGGGACACCATCCTTGTCATCTGGCTTTCCTCCTAGGGCTTGGGAAGGGTGTTGTGGACCCTGTCTGGGTTCCCTCACCCAGTCAGATAAGCAGCTGCAGCCTGGAGCCCAGTCAGCTGGAGAGAGAGCAGCAGGGCCTGTAAGTACAAGGTGCTGCCAGACGGGGCCAGGCAGAGGAGGAAGACAGGAGCCTTTCAAATACTGAAGGCAGCAGAAGGCCCTGCATGTGCAGGTAGCTATTTCCTCGGCCTTGACAATTTAACCTCCAACTCTGGCCCCTGATACCACCTGTCATCCAGCTGCACTGGCTTAGATTCAGCAAGACCAGATCAGCTTTCTAGTCCTGTGGCCAGAGGTTTTGCTCATTCCTGGGTAATGTATAAATCATGCTTCCCTTTATGCCTTTGCTATTAAAATGACTGAGAACTTCTGGAGAGAGTGGAAAGCAGCAGTAGCTTCTGGAAGGCAGATCCCAGTCCACAGACTGTGTAGATGTCACAGTAGTCATGATTGGCCATCAAATCTTCCATTCATTTATTATCCATCCATCCATCCATCCTCCATCCACCCATTCTTCATCCTATCTATCCACCCATCCATCCATCCATCAATGCTCCATCCAACCCTCATCCCATCCATCCATCCATCCACCAATGCTCCATCCAACCCTCATCCCATCCATCCATCCATCCATCCACCAATCCTTTGTCCACCCATCTCTCATCACATCCATCCATCCATCCTCTAGTTATCTGGACTGACTTCCTTCCTTTTTTTCTTCCCTCCCCTTTTCCCCTCCCCTCTTTCCTACCTTCCAAGAAATATTTTTCTAGCATCTGCTATGCTACCAGGTTTGTCAGATGTGGCAGATTTCTTCAAAGCATGTGAAGCCACCCAGGAGAAAATTTAGTCCTTTATTGAGCTCCAAATCAGCCCCTCTCAACCCCAAGCATCTCTCACATATGTATTTTTTTCTTGGTTCATAGACTTTATGAATTTATAGACTTCATAAACATTATTGGTTCATAGACTTTATTTATTTATTCCAGCATATTGTGGGGGTACGAATGTTAAGGTTACGTATATTGCCCTTGACCCCCCTCCCCCCTCGAGTCAGAGCTTCAAGCGTGTCCATCCCCCAGTTGGTACGCATCGCATTCGTTATGTATGTATATACCCATCCCCTCCCCCCCACCTGCCTGACACTCAATAAATGTTATTCCTATATGTCCACTTAGGTGTTGATCAGTTAATACCAATTTGCTAGTGAGTACATGTGGTGCTTATTTTTCCATTCTTGGGATACTTCACTTAATAGAATGGGTTCCAGCTCTAGCCAGGAAAATACAAGAGGTGCTATATCACCATTGTTTCTTATAGCTGAGTAGTACTCCATGGTATACATATACCACATTTTATTAACCAATTCATGTATTGATGGGCACTTGGGTTGTTTCCACATTTTTGCAATTGTCTTGTTCATAGAGTGACTTTTGTTCTTTTGGGTAGATGCCCAGTAATGGGATTGCTGGATCAAATGGTAGATCTACTTGTATCACTTTAAGGTATCTCCATATTGCTTTCCACAGAGGCTGGACTAGTTTGCAGTCCCACCAGCAATGTAGGAGTGTTCCTATCTCTCCACATCCATGCCAACATTTATTGTTTTGGGACTTGTTAATAAGGGCCGTTCTCACTGGGGATAACAAAGCAGACAAAAACATACACTAGGGAAAAGAATCCTTATTAAATAAATGGTGCTGGGAAAACTGGATAGCCACATGTAGAAGACTGAAACAGGATCCACACCTTTCACCTCTCACAGAAATCAACTCATGCTGGGTAAAAGACTTGAACCTTAGGTGTGAAACTATTAGAATTCTAGAGGAAAACATTGGAAATACTCTTCTAGACATTGGCCTAGGCAAAGAATTTATGAAGAAGACTCCAAAGGCAATCACAGCATCAACAAAAATAAATAAATGGGACCTGATCAAATTAAAAAGCTTCTTCACAGCCACAGAAACTGTCAGGAGAGCAAACAGACAACCCACAGATTGGGAGAAAATTTTCGCAAGCTACACATCTGATAAAGGGCTGATGACTAGAATCTATTTAGAACTCAGGAAAATCAGCAAGGAAAAAAAAAAAAAAAACAACCCTGCCGAAAAGTGGGCAAAGGACATGAACAGAAACTTTCCAAAAGAAGACAGAATCATGGCAAACAAACATATGGAAAAATGCTCAACATCTCTAATCATCATCTCACATATGTATTAATGACTTTCCATTTAGGGCTGCAGGTGGGGGGAGAGGAGGTGGGACAGAGTGGATGGGAGAGGAGAGAGAAAAAGTGAGGTTCCTAGTCTGAGGTTGCTGAGCCTCCCCATTCTGTTTGAGAATTTCACAGGCTGCAGGAAGCAGGGAGGAGAACCCAAGTCTTTAAAAAATTATTCTTATTTCTACAGATTTAGGAGGTACTAGTGTTTTCTGCTACATGGATGAATTGTATAGTGGTGAAGTCAGGGCTTTTAGTAGTACCTTTATAGTACCTGTCACCAGAATAGTGTACATTGTACCCAACAGGTAATTTTTGATCCCTCACCCTCTCCTACTCTCCTCTTTTCTTACTTTCCAGTGTCCTTCATCTCACTTTATGTCCATATATACTCATTGTTGAGCTCCCACTTGTAAGTGAGAACATGTGGTGCTTGTTTTTCCATTCCTGAGATACTTTACTTAAGATAATGGTCTCCAGCTCCATCCACGTTGCTGCAAAATATATCATGTCATTCCTTTTTACAGCTGAGTAGCACTCCATGGTGTACATTAATATATACCGCATTTTCTTTATCCACTCTTCAATTGATGGGCACTTTTGAGAATAATGTGGTAATCAACATTCGGGTGCAGGTGTCTTCTTGGTATAATGACTTGTTTTCCTTTGGGTAGATACCCAGTTGTGGGATTGTTAGTTCTCTGAGGAATCTCCATACGTTTTTCCATAGAGGTTGTACTAATTTGCAGTCCCACCAACAGTATAAGTGTTCCCTTTTCACCACATCCACACAACATCTATTGTTTTTTGACTTATTAATAATGGCCATTCTGACAAGGGTAAGGTGGTACCTCACTGTGGTTTTAATTTGCATTTTCCTGATGATTAGTGATATCGAGCATTTTTTCATATGTTTATTGGCAATTTGTATGTCTTCTTTTGGAAAAAGTCTGTTTGTGTCTTTTGCTCACTTTCCAATGGGGTTGTTTTTTTCTTGCTGATTTATTTGAATTCTTTGTAGATTCCAGACATTAGTCCTTTGTTGGATGTATAGTTTGCAAGTATTTTCTCCCATTCTCCAAGTCTTACATTACACTTTGAATTTCCCAGTTGAGTTTATGACTGGATATGTGTAAGTATGATGCATTAATAACAGAGAGTAGAATATCTTATTGCAGGGGTCTCCTAATTGGTCTCCCTGCTTCCAGGCACCCCACACCCTAAGCTATGCTCCTCAACACCATCAGAGAGATCTTTCTGCAATGTCCCTGTCCTTGTCTCTCTCCTGCCTGAAGTCCTTCATTAACTCTATGTCACCCACAGGCCAAAGGTCAAGGTCCTTAACATAATCCAAAAGGATCTTCATGATCTGACTGCAGTTGCCTCTTTAGCCCTGTGCCCTCTCCCTCCCTGTCATATACTTTACACTTCAACAACACCACAACTATTTACAGTTTGCCAAGCTCTCCATGCTGTCTTATGCCCCATCCTTTGGAATATGCTCATCCCTCCACCCGGAACTTTTTACCATTACTCCTTTCCTTGTACTCCCTTTGAACTGAGCATATTCATCTCTTGTATGCTTATCACCTTGCACTGTAATTTATTTGCTCAGGTCTGTCTTTCCCACCAGACTATGAGCTGCTTAAGTGTAAAGACTCTGAGTTACTTGTCATGTGTCCCTGTGCCCAGTACAGGGTCTGGTACCTAGAAGGGACTCAATATGTATTTGTGTGGTGAACAGATGGATGGATGGATGATGCATGAGGAGAGTCTTACAAGAGAAATGGGATAGCTTTGGGACATAGCTTTGGGACAAGGTGGTTGTCTATATAACAGATTCTGAGATAGGATGACAAATGTCCTATTCCTGAAAGCTCAGATCTTTGAGGAGGGGACTGAGCTCTGGCCTAGGCCAGGCGAGGTGTGCAAGTCAGGAATGGGGAAGTTTGGGATGACATGGTGATCGGCTGTGGGGCCCACTTCCTGTTCCCTCTGCATAAATGGTCCTTGAAGGTACAGGCAGCCAGGAGCACCTGTGCTGCCAGGGCAAGGGTGAACACTCAGGATGAAGGCTGCGGAGAGGGAGGCCCCTGATGCACACTTCACTGTGGACAAACAGAACATCTCCCTCTGGCCACAAGGCAAGCACTGCTGCTGCTCAGTATGTGCTTGGCGCTCTGTGCCTTCAGTTGGTCCTTCAACAAACATTTGCTTCTTCTTCCATCAGAGCCTCCTCCCAAGAGGAAAGCGCCCACGGTCCGTGCTGCATTGATCTGCCTGACGCTGGTCCTGGTTGCCTCTGTCCTGCTGCAGGCCATCCTTTGTAAGTCTCACGCTTCCTCATATGGGCTTAGCCCTTCTCTGTAGCCAGTGGGCTCTCTCGAGATCCAGACCTTCTCTTCCCTGCTCTCTGCTGCCTGTGGCCTTTCCATTTGTCTCCTTTCTCCTCTTTCCACCTGTGGTAACAGAGCGCCCCATCTGCTGCTGCTGCGCTTCCTTTCCCAATTTTAGGGAGATTCTTCTGACTGGGATCAGTGCTTGCATGTTTGTGCTAAAGGATACAATCTTTTTTTCTTTTTTTGAATTAGATATTCTCTTTCTGTCACCTCTGGCTAGAGTGCAGCAGCATCATCATAGCTCACTGCAACCTCAAACTCCTGGGCTCCAGGGATCCTCCTGCCTCAGCCTCCCAAGTAGCTGGGACTATAGGCACTCACCACCAAGCCCAGCTAATTTTTTCTATTTTTGGTAGAGATGGGGTCTTGCTCTTGCTCAGGCTATTCTCCAACTCCTCGCCTCCTCCTGCCTCAGCCTCCCAGAGTGCTAGGATTACAGATATGAGCCATTGCACCACGCCTGGACATTCTTTTGTCCCCAGGAAATATTCACCATTTTTTCAGCCATGCCATTTTCTTCCCCCAAAGCCCCTCCACCCTGAGCTTTGTGACCCTTGCTTCAGAGCCTTTCGGACAGCCCCTGACAATGAGTGCAATGTTTTCTCGTCCTGTCAGGGACTGAGCCCCCAGTGTGGCCTCAACCCCAACTGACCAGAGGGAGAAACTGGTCAACAAGGGAACAAATCTCCACGGCTCTGTCCTTTCACCAGGGCCCCCCTTGTGCTCTCTTCATTCTCCTGTCCCTGTGAAGGTCACATCAAGGGAGCCTTCCTACTCCTTCATTGTTGCATGGTTTATCTTTCTTCCTCTTCCAGCTCTGCCAGGCTTCATGCCCTCTGCTGCTGGCAGAGCCTTCTTCCTCTCGCCAGGTTGCCAGGAGGCAGAGCCAGGGAACCCAAGGAACTGTTGGTTTCTGTATTTCCCCTTTGTGGCCTTGGGGCATATTTGATCTCAGACTTGCAGCCTCTGAGCAGAGTCCCTCCCACACCCCACTTCCACTTGTCCCATCCCAGACCCCTGGTCTCTGACAGTCTTTTCCACAGGATGTGCCTTTGAGCATCTTGGTTTATCTGGTCCCCTCTGTGGTCCCCAAGCCTGAGACCTGAACAGAATGTGAAAGTGAGTGGGAAAAAGGAGGAAATGGTTTTGTATTTTTTTTTAATTTTGAGACAAAGTCTCACTCTGTTACCCAGGCTAGAGTGCCGTGGCGTTGGCCTAGCGCACCAACCTCAAATTTCTGGGCTCAGGTGATCTTCCTGCCTCAGCCTCCCAAGTAGCTGGGACTACAGGCATGTACCACCATGCCTAGCTAATTTTTTTTTCTATATATTTTTAGTTGGCTAATTACTTTCTTTCTATTTTTAGTAGAGACGGGGTCTCGCTCTTGCTCAGGCTGGTTTTGAACTCCTGACCTTGAGCGATCCTTCCGCCTCGGCCTCCCAGAGTGCTAGGATTATAGGCGTGAGCCACCATGCCAGCCTGAAGTGGTTTTGTAATCCCCCTTTCCATATTCTCTGGAGAAGATGCCACTCCAGATTAGGAGTCTGCATGGCTGGCCCTTGCCGTGGTCACAGAGGGGCCCATGGACAGACGCGGAGGGATGGTGCTGCCCTAGCAGATGGCCGCCGCTGGGGGCTCTGACAGCAGAGGGCTGGCGATCAAGTGATGGGGTCTGGAGAGAATCAAGTGCTGGGGAGAATGACCAGGTGATGGGGGACACCCTTTACTAAATGTGCAGGAACACTCAGAAAATTCAGGGCTGGCTTCTTCTAATCCCTGCTCTGTTTGCCTGTGAGGTCTTCTCACAGAAAGTCTGTGTTTTTTAAATCTTCCCATTGTCTGTATCCACCAGAGTCCCAGGCACATGGCAGCTGCCCATTGCATGTTTGTTGTACATTAATGAATGGCTGGAGGGTCGGGGATAGCTCCTTGGACTGTTTTGGCTCTTTGGGGAGCTCGAGCCTGTCACCTTCCCTTTCTTTCCTTTTATCAACCTGACAACACCCCCAATCCTGCCCCCAGGGGTCTCATCAGCTGACCTCTTGACTGTCTCAAAAACAGATCCCTGGTTTATGCGCACGATGTCAGATATGAAGACCAATGCCCAGTTGCTGAAAGGTCGTGTGGACAACATCAGCACCCTGGGTTCCGAAATTAAGAAGAACAGCGGTGGTGTGGAGGCAGCTGACCTGCAGATCCAGATGGTGAAAGCCAGCCTGGATTATGCACATTCTCAGATGCTCAAGTTGAAAACCAGTGTGGAGAAGGCCAACACACAGATCCAGAACTTAACAAGAAGTTGGAAGGAAGTTGATACTTTAAATGCTCGAATTCCAGAGTTGAAAGCAGATTTGGATAAAGCCAGTGCTTTAAATGTAAAAGTCCGAGGACTCCAGAGCAGTTTGGAGATTATCAGCAAATCGCTAAAACAACAAAGTAGGTGGCTCAGAAAATGACATTGTAAGCTGACCAGTGGCCCATGGGACCTCAGACATGAGGTCATTGGGCTAGTGGGAGAGGAAAGGAGAAGGGCAGGCATGGGTTAGAAAGTTAAGGAGAAAGGGCTTAGCATTGGGGTTGGGGAGAACTTAGTGTGTGTTCGGAGAGAAGAGGCCAGGGTCCAGCTTGGGCTCCCACACCAAGGTGCAGCTTGTGAAAGCACTAGGGAGTGTCCCTCCAGCCCACACCTAGCAACTTCCTATCAAGTTCCTTTCCTAGAAGCCAGGGGCTCAGCCACTTGTCACGGTCAGTGGAGAATTGCTTCTCCCTTACAGGAAAGACAGGTTCTTGGTCCATCCTCTTGCACTCTCCCCGTCTAATCCCAGAGGGTCTATCAGCCTCAGTCAGATTTAAGGATCTGTGAGAGTGTTCCAGTCCCCTACACAAGGACCAAAGGACCTCCGAGCCCAGCCCCATTCACTGCTGCCTCTGAGATCCCACCCAAGTGCCCTCACCCTGCCAGCACCCAGAGACAGGAGCACTGGCATTCACCTTCAGCCCTTGTTCTCCAGATGACATTCTACAGACGGTTTCTCAAGGCTGGAAGTACTTCAAGGGGAACTTCTATTACTTTTCTCCCATCCCAAAGACCTGGTACAGTGCCCAGCAGTTCTGTTTGTCCAGGAATTCACACCTGACCTCGGTGACCTCAGAGAGTGAGCAGGTGAGTGCTGTTCCCACGGGCTCTGAGAAGAGGATGTATTAGCCGCTGGCTCAGGGAGGATGGAGAAGATTATGCTGTGGTAGCAAAAAGCCCCAGATATCCGTGACCTAAGGAAGGATTACTTCTCACTTACACTACATGTCAAACAAGGGCTGGCAGAGGGGTTCTGCTCATTGCAGTTACTCAGGACATAGACTGAAGGAGACTTGACCATAACGTGTTCTACACTTGCTGAGTCAGGAAAAGAAAACATGGCAGATTATGCCTTGGCTCTTGAAGCTTTTGTCCAGAAATAACACATCACTTCTTCTCACATTTCACTGGCCAAAGTAAGCTATGCCATACTTCTAGCTTCAGAGGGCATGGAGGTGCAATCTTTCCACATGCCCAGAAAACAGAAATATTGTTGAACAGCATTAATGATCCCACAGGACTCAAGAAGTGTCCTGCCTGGCAAGGCAGAATATTGAACCAGCTCTTTTCTTCTGGGAGGTGGGAGGTAGGAGCCTGGGCTCTAGAGTAGATTCTAGAGTCCTAACCCTGCCATCTAACAAATCCTAAAGACTTGGGGAGAGGCCAGGCATGGTGGCTCACGCCTGTAATCCTAGCACTCTGGGAGGCCAAGGCGGGCGGATCCTTTAAGCTCAGGAGTTTCAGACCAGCCTGAGCAAGATCGAGATCCCGTCTCTACTAAAAATAGAAAGAAATTAATTAGCTAACTAAAAATATATAGAAAAAATTAGCTGGGCACGGTGGCACATGCCTGTGGTCCCAGCTACTTGGGAGGCTGAGGCAGAAGGATTGCTTGAGCCCAGGAGTTTGAGGTTGCTGTAAGCTAGGCTGAGTGAGACAGAGTGAGACTCTGTCACACACACACAAAAGACTTGGGTAGAATATTAACTTTACTGGGCTCTGGGCAAGGGCAGGAAGAGGCTCAAGAGAAGTCAGTGTGCACAGTGTGTCTGTGGGTTCAAGGCTGCCACTGAGGACATGGGAAGAACACCCAGAGACAGACGCTCAAACTCCCAGTCATGGCCTTGCCCCCGCTCATCCTGTCTTCCCTTGCAGGAGTTTCTGTCTAAGACAGCAGCAGGACTTATCTACTGGATCGGCTTGACCAAAGCAGGGAATGAAGGGGTCTGGTCCTGGGTTGATGACAGTCCATTCGACAAGGTCCAGAGTGCAAAGTAAGCCCCCAGAGACCCCACTCAGCCTGACTGTCCATGGCCAAGGCCAGAGCATGAAGGGTTGCCCCTGAAGTACAGGGTTTCTGATTTTTCCCTGTCCTAGGGCAGCAGGGACACTGGAACTGAGATCTAGTACACTCTGCCACTCATTGGCTGTGGGGCCTGGGACAAATGTGTGGCCTGCCATGCCCTCTGGGGTTTGGCAGCAAGGCTTCTACCTAGCTTTAGCAGGGATCTTGTCCCGTGTCTAGGTCTTGCAGTGTGAGTTTGTGTAGGGGCTTGAGTGGAGGGTTGGTTTGTCCCTGCCTTGGGGTGTGAGTGAAGGCTTAGAGGGTAAGGGCTCACTAATCCCTTTCCTCTTAGGCTTGGGTGCAGAAAATTGCTATGCCATTACCCAGCATCAAAGCTGGGCTTGAAGCAACTCATTTCTTCACTGGAGATAAGTTCTTCTTAGTTTTCCAACTTTGTAAGTCCATGTTTCTTTGTTTTTTCACTTGGTAGGTTCTGGATGCCAGGTGAGCCCAATAATACGGGGAACAATGAACACTGTGCCAATATAAAGGTGTCCTTGCTTCGGTCCTGGAATGATGCCTCCTGTGACTATAAGCTCTTTTTCATCTGTAAGCGGCCCTACGTCCCATCAGAACTATGACAAGACTGGCCCCTAAACTCAACCTTTGAGCTCCACTACTCGTTGAACTTGAGGAAAAGCCTTTTTCTTCTCCATACTCCAGGATGACTTTGCACCTTAAGTTTTCTTGCTTCGAAATTGTCCCAATGGCCTTCTGGAGTCTTTCTGCCTTGGCTGGAAATTCTCTGACCCCATGGAGGCAGCTGGAAAAGAAAGGAGAACTTGGGATAAAATGCAAGGGGCAGGTGGAGAAGATTTAGAAGTCTAAATTGCCTTGGTAATGAGGATCAGGATTGTAATCTGGGCAACACCTTGGGCTTTTCCCCTCCCTCAGAAAAGCTTCAGTTTCATCACATAGAAGTTGCTTCAGACCAACCAAGCAATTCTCCTGATATTGTCACTCAGGGCTTTTCCAGGCTGATTCCCCCAAATCCCCACTTAACAGGGCTGGTGGCTGGCAGGTGGTTGTGTTTACAGTGAGAAGAGCTCTGCTCCTGGTGACCCTGCCCATGGCATGTCCCCAGTGGCCTCTTCATCCATGTCCTCTGAAGCCTGAACCCCTCTTCTCTGGTTCGGCCTGGGGCTGACATGACCATGCATCTCGTTCAGAGTAGGGCCAGCACTCAGCCTCCCTTGTCCCTTCCACTCACTTGGCACACGCTGGTGCCCAGCCCTGCCTTCCACCCAGTGTCTGTTTAGTCTCTCCCTCACCTCCCCTGCCCTTCTTCTTTCTTTTGCATTTCCTCTCTTCCTGTGCCTTGTGCATGGGAAGTGGCCTTCAGGACCTTAATGAGTTCACTTCAAAGCTTCTTTAGAATAAAATGCTGCCTGGGTCAAGGCCTCCATGTGTGCTCTTTCATTCCTGGTTGTACAGGTGAATGTGTGGGAAAGGCAGTTGGCTTTACTGGATGTGAAGTTCTGGGGTAACCTCAGGAAACAGGTGGAGGGTCAAAAATAACAAAAAATAGGAAAGCTGAAGCCCTGGAAATGCTATAAAAGCAGAGTCATTCATTCTGTGACCAAAAAACAAGAACAAAACCAAAACAAACAAAAGAACCACAAGAAAGTTAGCAGGAAGACTTTTGAGGGTCTAGAGTGGAAACAGAGAGGTAGAAGAAATGGGGGTCTGAGATCTATGAGGGTGGCAATGAACTGCCCTGCTGGGGGTGGTCCGGAGCCCTAGCCAGGTGGGGTCTGCAAGGGAACCAATGGTAGTCCCAGCCCCAGTCAGCATGACAATGTCAGGAATGATGCTGACAATCCCTGCTTTGTAAGGAAAAGGGAAAGTGCTACACAACCAACACAAACACACAACATCCAAAGCACTGGGAAAATAAAAGCAAAGAAAGCGTAGCCCATATAATATGAGAAAAAGAAAGAGAGCAATAGAAAGAGAAAAAGGAAAAAAGAAAGAAAGAAAGAAAGAAAGAAAGAAAGAAAGAAAGAAAGAAAGAAAGAAAGAAAGAGGAAGAAACCAAGAAAAAGGAAAAAAAGACTAGATAGGTAGATTAAGGAAGCATAAAAACTCAAAAATAAAATATTATAGTACATGTCACACAAATCAATAAGTGTGACATAGCATATCGACAAAACAAAGGACAAAAACCATATGATATTTCAATTGATGCTGAGAAAGCATTCAATAAAATTCAACAGTCCTTGATGATAAAATTTTCAAAAAACTGGGAATAGAAGGAACTTACCTCAATATGATAAAAGCCATATATGACAGACCCACAGCTAGTATCATCATACCAAATGGGGAAAAACGGAAAGCCTTTCCTCTAAGATCTGAAACAAGACACTCTCACCATTGCTATTCAACATAGTATTGAAAGTTCTAGCTAGAGCAATCAGATAAGAGAAAGAAATAAAAGGTATTCAAATTAGAAAGGAAAAATTCAAATTATCCTTATTTGCAGATGATATGAACTTATATCCAGAGAAACCTAAAGATTCCACAACAAAACCATTAGAACTGATAAACAAATTCAGTGAAGTTGCAGGACACAAAATCAACATACAACAATCAGTAGCATTTCTATATGTCGACAGTAAACAACCTGAAAAAGGAAACCAAGAAAGTAATTACATTTATAATAACTACTAATAAAATAAAATGCCTAGGAATACACTTAACCAAAGAAGTGAAAGCTATCTACAATGAAAATTATAAAACATTGATAAAAGAAATTGAAGAGGACACACCAAAAAATGGAAAGATATTTCATGCTCATGGATTGGAAGAATCAATATTGTTAAAATGTCCATACTACTTAAAGCAACCTACAGAGTCAATGCAATCCCAATCAAAATACCAAAGACATTCTTCACAGAAATAGAATAAGTAATCCTAAAATTTATATGAAACCACAAAAGTCCCAGAGTAGCCAAAGCCATCCTGAGCAAAAAGAACACAATGGAGGAATCACATTATCTGGCTTCAAATTATATTATAGAGATATAGTAACCAAAACATCATGGTACTGGCATAAAAACAGACACATAGACCAATGGAACAGAATAGAGAACCCAGAAATAAATCCACACATCTATACTGAATTTATCTTTGACAAAGCTGCCAGGAACATACAGTGGGGAAAGGACAGTCTCTTCAATAAATGGTGCAGGGAAAACTGGATATCCATATGCAGAAGAATGAAACGACACCCTTATCTCTTATCATATACAAAAATCAAATCAAAATAAATTAAAGACTTAAATCTAAGACCTGAAACTATGAAACTACTAAAAAAACATTGGGGAAATACTTCAAGACATTGGTCTGGGCAAGAACTTCCTGAGTAATACCCCCCAAAGCACAGGCAATCAAAGTAAAAATTGGACAAATGGGATCACATCAACCTAAAAATCTTCTGCACAGCAAACAATCAACAAAGTGAAGAGACAACTGAAAGAATGGGAGAAAATATTTGTAAACTACCCATCTGACAAGGGATTAATAACTAGACTATCTAAGGAGCTCCAATAACTCACAGAGAAAAAAATAAAATAATCCAATTAAAAGGATTTGAATAGACATTTTTCAAAAGAAGATATGCAAATGGCCAGCAGGTATATGAAAAAAAAAAGCTCAATATCATTAGTCATCAGAGAAATGCAAATCAAAACCACAATGATATATCATCTCACCCTAGTTAAAATGGCTTCGATCAAAAGACAGTCAATAATGAATGATAGTGAGGATGAGGAGATAGGGGAACACTCACACGCTGTCGGTGAGAATGTGAAGTAGTGCAACCACTATGGAGAACAGTATGGAGGTTCCTCAAAACACTAAAAATAGAAGTACCATATGACCCAGAAATCCCACTGCTGGGTGTATATCCAAAGGAGGGGAATTCAGTATATTGAAAAGATATCTGTGGTCCCATGTTTGTTGCAGAAATAGCCAAGACTTGAAATCAACCTAAGTATCCATCAACAGATAAATAGATAAAGAAATTGTGGTACATATACATAAAGGATTATATTGCCACAAAAAAGGGCAAAATCCTGCCATTTGCAATAGCATGGATGGAACTGGAGAACATTATGTTAAGTGCAATAAGCCAAGCACAGAAAGACAAATCTCACATGTTCTCACTCACATGTGGGAGCTAAATATTAAAAACAATTACTCCCATGGAGACAGAGAGAATGATCGTTACCAGAAGCTGGGAAGGGTAGCAGGGAGGGGGACATAAAGTGGGGATGGTTAATGGATGCAAAAATATAGTGAGATAGAATGAACAATATTTGATAGCACAACACAGTGACTATAATCAACAATAAGTTAGGGTATACTTTAAAATAACTGAAAGAGTTCTTTTTTTTTTCTTTTTTCTTTTCTTTTTTTTTTTTTTTTTTGAGACAGAGTCTTGCTTTGTTGCCCGTGGTGTCAGCCTAGCTCACAGCAACCTCAAACTCCTGGGCTCAAGCGATCCTGCTGCCTCAGCCTCCCAAGTAGCTGGGACTACAGGCATGTGCCACCATGCCAGACTAATTTTCTCTCTATATATTAGTTGGCCAATTAATTTATTTCTATTTCTAGTAGAGACGGGGTCTCGCTCTTGCTCAGGCTGGTTTCAAACTCCTGATCTCCAGCAATCCGCCCACCTCGGCCTCCCAGAGTGCTAGGATTACAGGCGTGAGCCACCACGCCTGGCCGGAAAGAGTTCTTAACACAGAGAAATGATAAATGTCTGAGGTCTGTGGTCTCCAACCTCTGGGCTGTGGCCTGTTAGGAAACAGGCCATGCATCACCACCTGAGCTCTGCCCCCACCCCACCTCCGTACCCCTGGTCTGTGGAAAAACTGTCTTCCAAGAAATTGGTCCCTGGTCCCAAAAAGGTTGGAGTCCACTGCCTGAGGTGATGGATACCCCAATTACCCTGATTTGAGTCACATTATAAACCTGTAGCAAAACATCACATGTACTCTGTAAAGATATATATGCCCATAATAAATAAAAATTTTAAAAAGTGAAAAAAAAAACAAAAACAAAACAAATAAGGAAAGGGGGAAAACTAGAGGGAACCTGAGGTGTTAGATTGGGATTGGAGGCATTAGTGTGAATTCATGTTTTTAAAATGTGTGTACATAGATAGATATAGCTATATGTGTGCAGATGCATGTGGGCATACATATATTTCCTGTCTTTAAAAAAGGGCTTAGGAGTAATGATATCCCAAAGGAGTGAATGACCAAGCATATATATCTTGGATTCTCAATCCCATCTTCCACTAAAAGGAGAATTGGCTGATTCTTGGGCAGGGGCTGGGAAAATTCAAGATGAGCCTTATCTGGCACCAGTAAGAAAGTACACGAAGAATGTAGGGGTCATATCAAAAGGATAGAGAAGCCAGCTTGGCAGAGCTTCCATATACCAAATCTGGGACAATTTGAGCATTAAAATAAATAACAATGTGAATGAATTACATGCTGTTGAATAAAATAAAATAGAAAGTCATGAGCCCAGGCTGACATAAATACAAAATGAAGAAATAAATAGGGAGAAGGGAAAGCTCTTCCTCACAGTAGAATGCCAATCATTTGGCCACAATCA